CCTTTGCATGCTCAAGGTCCCATGTTCAAACTTTAGCATCTCCAGTCCTGTCCCCCCATGTAGCAGGAGGTGAGAAGATCTCTCCCTGCTAGCCAAGTATATATGCATTAGATTTATACACCGTCCTTCATCATAATATCTCAGGGTGCACTTTTGGAAGCTGAACTGTAGCTGCACATGATCTCTCAAAGGCTGCATGGAGAATACACAAAGCTGGCTGCCCTTGCAGAGGTTCATTTTGCTCTGCAAAACCTTTCTTGAAAATTTGCTACAGCAGCAAAGTCCTTACCCTCTTTCTGTCTGCATGTTCTGCTTGCTACCCCCTGACTAAAATTGGCCTCTATTATCCCTCTCCCAGCTCTTAAATTAGTCATTTGCCCCTTTCTTTGATTTGAAAAACTATAACAGAAAAAGAAATGATAAAAACACTGACACTGCACTGTAATGGACTCAGCTGACACTATTAATCCTGCAGCCATTCTATTCCCCAACTTCAACTCCCAAAATTTCATTTAATTTCCATTCACAACCTACCCAACTTTGTGTTCTGAATGAAGAAACAAATAAATGGCCTCTTCTTCTTGCTCACTGGACTGCTTCAAACTTTGCTTTCTTGTTACATCACACCAAATTTATTAGTCAACATCACTGTTATTGTTGTCACCGCCATCACTATTACCACACATTTACTTATACAGTCATAGTCTCATTGTAAAATGGGAGTTCTGGTTGCCTCACCTCAAAAAGGACACTGTAGAATTGTGTTTTAAAATAAAACAACAACAACAACAACCCCACGATTAAAGCAAAGCAAAGTCTTTGGAGTACAGGGTTGCTTTTTGCTTTTCTTTTCTTTTTTGCATACTTCAAACAAAACTATCACCTAAGGGGGATTAGACTGTAATATCTCAAGCATGTGTTAAGTTTCCCCTTTGTCTCTGTTGCCTTCTTCATGTTTCTGCTCCCATCAATAACTTGAGTCAAGAGATCCAGGCCTTTCCATGAGGATTTGCTTAGATACTCCTCAACTGTTAGGAACATGAGTGCCGAATAAGACTTGCTATTGAGAACATGACTAATTAATCCCAGGAGCGCTCCAGAGAGCTGTGTGTCAGCAGATGTCTGAAAACATCATCTGCCTAACGGAGAACAGCCTAAAGATCATCTTCCAATTCTGCATGTTGTCTCAGCAAGGGAGTCCCCTCGCTATTGTGATGCTACACAAGTGTAACTCCCTCGGGCATCATTCTAAAGTAACCAGGTGCATCATGTTTTCCAATACAGGGCTGCCACAATATTCAGTTGAAATCACTTAATCATTTATTATAATATTGTGTGTCCACTGCCTTTCAGTCAACAGTGGTGTTCAAAGCAGCTTAATGAGCATGGCTGGCCCATATGGTGAATCCCCAGACTATGGTTTGGAATGATTCCTTGATCCTGGAGGAGCTCCACTCAGACTAGCCACTGGTGTGCCTCCACAGGAAAGACTTTCAAGGATTCCATTCCTGTTCAGGTTGCGACTTTGCCTATGCAATGGCAGCCTTTCCTAGTGGCGCCATGTTCTGACCTTTGGTGGTCTTCCCTGGTTCTCAACCTCCAAGTGCAAGTCTCATTCTCTGTAATAATAGTTTACTAAAGGTTTTCATGTCTCCTTTTGACTTACAACAGTTTCCCCTTCAGCTCCCCCATTCCCTGCTTTTCTGTCTCCCCGCCCCCAGTCAGAGACACCTGTACAAGTACAATTGGATGGACATTGTTCAATTGCACATCAATAAAATAAAGACAAATAAATAGCTGAATGAATGAATGAATAAATAAATAAATAAATAAATAAATAGTAAAGGGTTCCCGTCTATGTTGTGTGTCTCCAATTGCAATTGACTCGAGCAGGCTTCCTCAAACTGGGCCGTCCAGATGTTTTTGGCCTACAACTCCCATGATCCCTAGCTAGCAGGACCAGTGGTCAGGGATGATGGGAATTGTACAAAACATCTGGAGGGTCAAGTTTGAGGAAGCCTGCCCTAGAGTGTCACTCAGCAAAGAGTTCTCAACTCAGCCCACATTCTATGATCACTTGCTCCTATCTTTTCCTATCTGCTGTTCAGGATCTGCTCATGAACCACCAGTTTCAGAAGATCATGAAGCAAGCCCTCCATACTCACTGAGTGTGGCATGGGCCCATGGAACTATCTCCTAATCAGCTTCCAATTAACAGGTGGATGTCCTATTAATATTTTTTTGGAAGCCGCCCAGAGTGGCTGGGGAAGCCCAGCCAGATGGGCGGGGTATAAATAATAAATTATTATTATTATTATTATTATTATTATTACTACTACTACTACTACTATTATGGCATGGCATGAGTGTTCTCTACCTCCAGGGTCTTACCTAAGACCAAACAAATTCTGGTTTAGACCTCCTTCCCAAAAAAAAAAGTTCAATGACTGGACCCCTCCCCACGAGGTGTGCTAAGTATGCAGGTGGCTGCTTGCTTCTCCAGCATATGCCTACTTACATTTTGCTGGATTAGTCTTGATTTAATATCTAAAGTGGCTTACTTAATATTACAGAAGGCTGCTTTTCAGTGTGTGAGTTATGATTAAACTTTACATTCTGAGTTCTACCTAATTCTGATTGGGCCCTGATTAGGATTTAATGTTTCGCATGCTGAGAGCTGCCCCTAGCTCAAGCCATGATGTCAGTTCATAGATCATATCTGGTTTCTCTGTGCTATGCTGACCATAATTTAGAACAGAAACCATGACTTCAGCTTACAAGAAGAGATGCTTGTCTGCTTGTGTATTCCATCCACAGAGCACTCAGATTCATATCCATCTCCATGACACAGCAGCCTCCTCAGGTGGAGTAATCAATTATTAGGCTACTCATTTCATGCCAAACCACACTTACCACAAACCATGGTCTTCAAGCACACTTCAAACCCTGTTTTCTGTTTCTGATTCATGGGACACTTGTAATGTATGTTTTGTCAATACAGGTACCAGGGCAAACCATGGTTTATCTCCTTTAACTATGGTTTGGCTAGCCGTCTACACTGAGTGATTAAATCAGCCTGTGGCAGGCTGCCCTTCTTTTCTTTTTCCCTTCCTTCTCTGTATTTAAGCAACTGCTTAGAACAATGAAAGCTTATTTGATTGCTTTGTTAACTTCACATAACTTATTGTACTTTCACTAAAAATAGGAACAGAAAAACACAATCGTCTTCCTAATGGCTGCGCAAGTGCCTATTTAAAGGCAATAATGCCACTAATAGATGCCATTACTTATTTACTGTCAAGAAATCAACAGCAGAAGCCACTTCTGTGCATTCAAGAGGGAGGGAGCAAAAGCCACCCCTAAAGTTGTCGAAACAGGGAGAAGTTGTGCCTAATTGCTTGGCTTTCATCAAAGCCTCCATGAATTCTGAGACAGGACTCCATGTCACTGTGGACAGAAACACAGCAAGCACAGGCCCTTCCTGGAATAAACTTGGCACCCTGTTGATCCTGAGCCTGAAAATATTTTAAGATCCAGAAGCTGTAACTCAGTCTCATCTGCATTCATTTTCAACTCAAACACACACACTAATTCAATCAAAAAGTAGATAGGGAGAATGTGTGGGTGGCATGGATGATAAAATCTGACAGGGAGGTTTTTTTAGAAAAAGGAAAAGGAAAAAAATAGTAACAAGGAAGAAAATCTCACTTTGCATCATTTGCTAAAGATTTCTCTCTCCTCCCCCCCATCTTGAGGTTCTGACAGAAGGAAATTTGAAATTTGAAAACGAAGGCATTGAAAAAGTCACAATTTATCTCAAACTGTGTGTGTATGGAGGGGAATCTAGGAACATGGAGGCAAAATACTACACAAATACTCCATGCACGTTTCATGAAACACAAGGCTAGTTTTAATGGCTGTCCTCTTCTGCTTCTAAGGCGGGGTGTCGTGTGAACTGGCCTTAATGGCCATGATTAGAGAATAGCAGATGACCCTCACCAGCTCATTTGAACAACAGTGTTTGCTCCAGCATGTGACAAATACTCTCGTTATAAATTCTCACTGGGCCAAACAATCTTTTACTCTGCCAAATGTATGGCCAACACAGAAAACACCCCTCATTATTTCTTCCTTAAATTGGTGATGGAGAGACAATAGTGGATGTCTGGGATTAAAAAACAGAAGAGGAAAGCAAGAAAGCAATAAACAGATGGGGAAGGAACAAGATCTCAGGTGCACAAATGACATTTAAAAACAGACAAACAAGTTTCAAACAGAAATCATTCACAATGGCACCCTTGTACAACCAACTGCATTCCTAGGCTGTCTACACAAATGCAAGGAATTATTTTGCTACATGCGTTTGCATGTAATGCTGGGTTGTGGTTTCTTTTAACCAAGTTTTATTCAACAAACCAGAAGTTACCTCTCATAAATAAGCAAACAAATCAGGATGTCTTTCCAGCTCCCCTTGCCCCACATCTCTGTACTTTGACAAGCATCTGGAGAGAGGTGGCTACGCAAACCATGGTTGAACACAGCAGTTGGGATCAAATATAAATGCCAAATTATCGCTAAAATAAGTCAACATTCATAAGTCAATAACCAACCACGGCTTCACACTGTGGTTTGTGACAGAAAACAACCTTTGCTGGGTTGGGTCCAGATGTTCAAACAAACCACACTTTGGCCAAAATAAAACCATGTCAGGCCATGCATGAAATTGAATGCTCAAGAATGAGCTTTAGGAGGAACTCGGTTTTCAAAATTGTTTGTCTCAGTGCCCTTGTCTCACTTCTTGTGCACTATGAAGTCTACTTCCTTTCTTTTTCCAAAGATGCCATATACCCAAGGACTTGGGAAGCAGACTAAAATTTTGGACCTTTCCCCATTTTGGAACATGGGAAGCTGTCCTTTACTGAGCCAGTCAATCCAGCTCAGTATTATCCACAATGATGGGTTTCCAGGGGTTTCACAGAGAGTGCATTTCCAGCCCTTTAAGGAGATGCCAGGGATGGAACCTGGACCTTCTGCATGCAAAGCAGCTGTTCTGTCACTGAACTATAGCCTTCAGCACACTTTAGGCAAGCTTTTTAAAACACACTTTAGCATCTGAATTTATTTGTGTGGAACTAGTTTCTTTTTTCAAGAGACTGGCATCTATAATTATGGTTTTAATAATCACTTTCCATAGCATAAGATTGGATTTGTGTTCCTTTTAGCTACTCTGGGTTTCTGTGGTAGAAGAAAAAATAAATGAACACCAGTCTCCACTTCCTTTCAGGCTTGATTTGTATCAAAAACTTGAATATGATGGATGGCAGCTATGTGGGACTCTCTGTCAGCTCGCTAGGGACTAAACTGCAGGCCAAGCAGTGATTCCCCACTTGCTACACACCAAGGTTGCTGTCCAGAGGGGGAGAGTACCGTAGAATCACAGGACTGGCAAGTTGGATGGGGTCTTCAAGGGTCATCCAGTCAAGTCCCCTGTAATGCTGGAATGACAATGAGAGAATCCCTGACAGATGGCAACCCAAGCTGTTGAAAAACCTCAAGTGAAGGAGAGTCCACTGCCTTCTCAGGTAGTCTGTTCCACTGTCAAACAGCTCTTACTGTCAGAAAGTTTTTTCTAATGTTTTGTTAGAATCTCCTTTCTTGTAACTTGAAGCCACTGGTTCGAGTCCAGAACATGTGGCACTCCTCTTCCATGTGATAGCCCTTAAGATATTTGAAGATGGCTATCGTATCTCTTCTCAGTTTCCTCTTTTCCAGGCTAAACATACCCAGCTCCTTCAACTATACCTCACCAGGCTTGGTTTCCAGACCCTTGATCATCTTGGTCATCCATGTTGCATATTGCCAATATCCTTCTTAAACTGTGGTGCCCAGGAGGGCTGGGCGGGGTCCGGTTATCAACATTGCAATGTATCACTAGCCAAACATCGTGATATGGCGATACAATGGGATATTAAAACAACAAGCTACATTGCCCCAACCTTGCGAGGCGCTGGGGTGAAACTGCCCCTGCCCTCGCCAAGGGAGCTGAGGTGGTTGCACCCCAGTGCCTCACGGGGCCAGGGAGATGCAGCTTGCTCTTGCACCGCTCAGCTGGGAAGCACAAAGACTCCCGACCTCAGCTGAGCGAGCCCCAATGCCTCTCTGGCTAGTGAGCGAGGCATCAGGGCTCGCTCAGCTGGGGGGCGGGAGCAGTTTAATGGAGGCCCCCCTCCGGCTCACATGAGCTGGGGGGGGGGGTTCTTTAAACTGCTCCGCTGAGGAGCGCGCAGCTGCTTGAGCCTTAGTGGAGCAGTTTAAAGAAGCCGAGGGAGGAACAAGCTGTATCTGAGCTATGAGGGGCAGAGCATAATGGCGGCTTCACCCGGCGGTGTATCACTGGTGAAACAGCCGTTGCTCCTGAGTCCCTTCTGATGTTGGAAGCAGCACTGGTACTCAGGAGCGGCGGCTGTTTGACCCGTGATATACTGCCAGGTAAAGCCGCCATCATGCTCTGCCCCTCATAGCAGTCCAGGTGGTGTCTGACCAAGGCAGAATAGGGTGGTACTATTTCTTCCCTTGACACCACAGGCAACAGCACAGCCAAGAATCTCCTCCACCTTGGGGACCAGCTAGGGCTGAGCAGGACTTCATGACTGAAACCCTGGGCAGCCACTGCTAGTCTGAGTGGACAGTACTAACCCAGAGGGACCAATGGTCTGACTCCCTACGAGGCAGATTCCTGTATTTCTTTATTCTATTACCTATTTCGGGCTGAGGAAACCTTTCAGCATGAGGGCCACATTCTTTCCTGGGCAGCCACCTGAGGTCCACATGTCAGTGTTGAGTCAGAAAAAGGATGTGACTCTGAACTTTGTACCAAAGGTTATATTCCAGACATGCCAAAGTAAGAGCTTAAATGCATGCACACATCTTTCCATGCATGCAAGTAAGAGGCATATCAATGTGCAGATTCCTACTCCAGGGCACAGAGCTGGGCTGAGGAAGGGTGTCACCTGTGGAGAATCCAGAGGACTGCGTGAGGTGAATTGGCCTGTGGGTCAGATCTTTCCACATTAGTCCTCAATCTTCCGCACTTCCGCAGTCTGGGGAGCTCACCCCTCAGGAATGCGGCAAACTGCCACAAACCAGGCTGGAGCATTGTTATTTTTTTAGTTAGCGAATTTATATTTCGCTTCATATTTCAATAGAAGTCCGAACAGTTTACAAATCTCAACAAAAAGGGATTGATAAAAGAGGAATCTACACAATACACATCTCACATTCAAGACCAAAGAGTAGCAGTTGTCATAGCAGCAGCTATGCAAGTAACATAATTAAATTTACCACTAGGCAACATACATCAAAATGCACAATGCTCTTGCAGTCAAACTGCAGTAAACATGACAACTGTCAACAGGGGCGCTTTCACAAGCAGAACATAATTTTGCCTTAATACCTTTTTTGGTTTGACAGTTCAGCACACCACAGACAAACCAGAAGCAAAAGGTGCTGCTTTAGACCTTCTCGTGCATGTTCTGCCACTGAGCTATGGATTAAAGCACAAGTCCTCAGCTGGTGGGTTGTTGCCTGATGCAAGGTGGATTGCAACAGGAGAACTAGCACCAGGCAAATGTATGGTAAAGGATGATGGGCTGGGTCCCCAAATGCATGTCTGGGTTAAGTGTGGGTCCTGGGTCTGAAGACACCTGCCTTAAAGCGATCTGCTCCTTTGTGCCAACCGGCCAGCATGGCTGCCATCCATCAGAAAGAAGTGCTTAATGGAAATCAGATCTGCAGCATGAAAGGGAACTAAAGGGAACTAACCAGGAATCACTAGACATCTTAACTGTCAAAACCTCGCTTCCTGTAGAGCTGTGTGTCTTACTCAATAAGCTCTATTTTTTATCACCATCAAATGAAGGAAAAACTACCGCAGTGCCAAAATAGAGCTATTATTAAAAGCTATTACCTATTGCGGACTTTCAGCAAGAAGGATGTCTTGTTATCATTCCCCCTGCCCTTCCTTTCTTTTCCTATAGGGGAAGGAATAGAGGAACGCAATCCAGGCTGGAGCAGGGCCTGCTAGATAAGTAGAGGCAAAATTATTGCTGCCTCGCTTAATAAATAGCAACCCTCAGATTAAAGTGTTGCTTTGAATATTGATTTTTATGAGGAGGAAGTGTCACAGGCAAGCTGAAGGAACATATTCTAAAAAAAATGATGGGAGATTGGACACACACACACAGACAGACAGACAGAGAATAACAACAACAACAACAACAACAACAACAACAACAACAACAACAACTTCTGCCTGGTTCTCACGAAGTGCAATGAAATAAGTTCCACACTTGGAAGTACACTGCTGAGGTGGTTTCTCCTTATTTCTTTATTACATTTGTACACCATTTTTTTCTCCAAGGAGCTCCAGGTGGTGTACAGGGTTTTCTCCTCCCCATTTTATCCTCACAACAACCCTGTGAGGTAGGTTAGGCTGAGAGTGAGTAACTGGCTCAAGGCCACCCAGCGAGAGCTTCATGGCTGAGTGAGGGACTTGAACACTGCTCTCCCAGATCCTAGTCTGACGCGCCAGTTACTATGCCATACTGGCTCTCTTGCGCTCATGTTCTGAACACAAGATGTTATCCTCGGTGCTCTTTGCACAGCATCCATCCTTGCCCATGAACATGTAAAGTGACCTTATACCAAAATCAATCCACCCAGCTCTCTCTCAGCCTGGCCTCCTCTGACCACCAGTGGCTCTCCAGGGAGAGATCTTTCCCTGGCCTGGCTATCGGAGATTTTTTAAACGGGATCTTCTGCATATGCAAAGGGTGAGCTCTGCTGCAAATATCTTTGGAAGGGAAGAGGTCACTCAACACAATTCCCCCCCCCCCCCAAATTTCAACAGGAAAGGGTCTCAGCTTATTCCATGCTCAAATTGTTACAGACCTGGAAAATTAGCAGCAACTGGTTTTTTGACTATGACCAAAAAACAGATTTAGTTGGTATCTGAGTTGTTAGAATGTTGGCATTTTTTTTCAGCCGACAGCATTTTATTGAATATATTTTTTCTTCTTTTATCTTTGCTTCTGGTCACAGCAACTTCCAAAAAGAAAAGAAATGTCAGAGATTCAATGACAGCCTCCATGGGCTTGAAGATGGAGCATCTCCTCATGCGCTCTGGCCACATTCACACCCTACATTTAAAACACTATGATGCGACTTTAAACAGTCATGGCTCCCCCCACAGAGAATTATGGGAGCCATTTGTTTGTTAAGAGTGCTGAGTTGGGCTGGGCGATATCTGTTTTTCAACATCACCAGCTAAACATCATGTTTTACTGATATATCATGATGTCTGAAATAAGGATGGAGCTATGTCGAGGCATTGGCGAGCTTCATGGTTTTTCCCGTGTCATGATTTTTGTATAGTGCACACACAGACTGGGAATTGAAAATAAAGACTGCATCACATATAATGAAATGCTACTTACTGACCTCAAAAGGATGTCAAAATAAAAAAGAGGAAAGGAAATGAAGGACTGTACAGCCAGATTAATTTATTTGCTACTGCATTCTCTAGTAGTGCAGGACAGATGCCAATGACCAACATAAATTTCCTAGGGAGGAAGAAGAAATACTGAAGGAAACTTGTCTTGCACCAGGGAAGGCGTTTTGGATATGAGTATGTGCAAAAGCTGCCAAACCCAAATGCACCAGATGAGGTAGGCTTGTGATCCCCCAAAGCAGGAAATGAAATGGAAGAGCAATTTAGAAGGAGTTGGGGAATGGGGGTAGGGGTGGAATTGCTGCTGGACCTGAAGGGGGAAAGGCAAATGGAGCACATTTCCAGTAGCTCTCAGGAGTCACATCAGCCTATCAGCCAGGCTGCTCCAGCTTTTGTGTGTTGTGCCCTTGTTACTATTCAGGGTTACCATGGTGGCCCATGCAAGGAGAACCTAGCAAAGAGCATCACAGTTGGCTGAAGGGTAAGTAAGACCCGCTTCTTCAGGAAGGGATGAGCGCAACACCCCAGCAACATCCTTGCCTCCACTTTGTATAAACAGCT